CCAGACTTCGTCTCACCTATTTTGGTCATGTTGTCAGAAGAGACCATTCCCTGGAGAAGGATGTCATGCTTGGTAGGGTGGAGGGTTGACGAAAGAGGGGGAGGCCTTCCACAAGATGGAATGACATGGTGGCTGCGACAGTGGGCTCAAGTATAGCAGGGATCATGGAGCTGGCACGGGATTGGGCAGTGTTTCGTTCTGCTGTGCATGGGGTCGCTATGAGTTGGAAACGACTCGACGGCACTTAACAACAACAATAACCTTTCCAAATAGGAGCTCTGGTGGCATAGTGCCTAAGGCATTTGACTGTTAACCAGAAGGCTGCTGATTCAAACCCATTGGCCACTCCTTGGAAGGAAGATTGGCAATCTACTTCCATAGTGATATTGCCGTGGAAACACAAGGAGTGGTTGCTATGAGTTGGATCCGACTCAATGGCAGTGAATTTGATTTGGTTTTTTTGGTTACCTTTCATATAAAGTTTAGGTTTTTTCTATTTCTCTAAAGAAGATTTTTGGAATTTTGGCCAAGATTGTGTTGAATCTATAGATCCTTTGGGTAGTATCGACATCTTAACAATATTAAGTCTTCCAATCTGTGAACATGGAGCTTCTTTCTACTTATTTAAGTCTTCTTTAATCTCTCTCAGCAGTAATTTATAGTTTTCATTGTATAATTTCATCCCTAGATAGATTTCTTCCTAGTATTTTATTCTCTTAGATACTATTGTAAATGGAATTGTTTCCTTAATTTCCCTTTCAGATTTTTCATTGCTGGTATATAGAAACACAACTGATTTATATTTGTTGACCTTTCTCCTGCAACTTTGCTAAATTTCTCTATTAGCTCTAGAAGTTTTCTTGTGGACTTTTTTGGGATTTTCTTCATATAGGATCATACCATCTGCAAATAGAGATAATTTTACTTCTTTTTTGGATACATTTTATTTCTTTTTCTTGTCTTATTGCTCTGACTAGGACTTCTGATACAATATTGAATAGAAGCGTTGAGAGAAGGTACCCCTATTTGTTCCTCATTTCAGTTTTTGTTCATTGAGTATAATATTGCCTATTGGTTTTTCATATATGCCCTGACTCATATCGAGGAATTTCCCTTTGATTCCTATCTTCTGTAGGGTGTTCATCACAAAAGAGTGTTTGATGTTATCGATTGCTTTTGTTGAACCCAAACAGATGATGATGTGGTTCTTCTCCTTTGTTCTATTGATGTACTATGTTACCTTGATTGCTTTTCTAATGCTGAGTCATCTTTGCATTCCTGGAATAAATCCCACTTGGTCATGGTGTATGACTCTTTTAATATGCTGTTAGATTCTGTTTGCTATTATTTGTTGAGGATTTTTGCATCTATATTCGTAAGAGATATTGGCCTGTAGTTTGTGTGTGTGTACTATTTGCGTTTCAGGGTATGTTTGCTTCATAGAATGAATTAGGGAATATGCTTCCTTCTCTATCTTTTGGAAGAATATAAATAGTATTTGTGTCAATTCTTCTCTAAATGTTTGGTAGAATTCCTCAGTGATGCCATTTTGCCCAGGACATTTTTGTTGTTTTGGGGAGGTTTTTGATCTCTCTTTCTATCTCTTCACTTATTATGGGGTCTATTACTGTTTTTACAGCAGTTGTAGTTCTATGGTTATGCATGTTCTCTAAATCTGCCTTTCCTTCAATAGACTACAAAGTTAATTTGGGGTCAGGACTGTAGCCATTTTGCAGCTTGTTTTGCAAAATGCTCCAAATAGGAGCTCTGGTGGCGTAGTGCCTAAGGCATTTAACTGCTAACCAGGTGACTGCCGGTTCAAACCCATGGGCCACTTCTAAGAATGAAGATTGGGCAATCTACTTCCATAGTGATATCGCCTCAGAAACCGAAGGAGGGGTTGCTATGAGTCGGATCCTGCCTTGAAATCAGCTTTAGAAAAATGTTAATTTATTGAATGAATGCACAAATCCCTATCTTATAAGTGGGGTATGAAGAGATGGTGAGTTACCCAAGGTCACAGAGTGAGCCAATAAAAGACCCCAGGGTCCCTGATGTGGAGTCCAGTAAGCTCTGTGCCCCATGGTCCATGTGGGATGCTGGGTCCATCCTCTCCTACGATCTCTTATCCTGCCCTTAAATCTAGAGATACACACTCTGCTTTCTCCCCTCTTCTTCCCTCCCCTCAAGGGAGTAAAGTGCTCAGACTCTTACAGGAAGAAAACCAACGTGACTGCCCTCAAGTCGGTTCCAACTCATAGTGACCCCTCCTTGGGTTTCCGAGGCAGTATCTCTATGGAAGTAGATTGTCCAGTCTTCCTTCTGAGGAGTGGCTGGTGGGTTTGAACCACCAGCCTTCAGGTTAGCAGTCAGATGCCTTAGGCATTATGCCATCTGAGCTCCTACATGAAGAGTATACCATAAACACACCTTGGGATTATCACAAGAGCTGAAAAATGAATGTAAATTCCAAGCTGACAAACCCTGACCTGGCTTTGGTCATAGATTCTCTCTATGCTCTTGAGCAGGTAAAACTGTTTTCAGTCTCAGTTTATTCACCTGTTAAATGGAAATTGAATTCTATGCTGTGATGTGACTTACAGGGTTATTGGGGAGAGAGAATCCTAAGGCACTAGACTGCTAACCAGAAGGCTGGCGGTTCAAACCCACCAGCCACTCCTCAGAAGGAAGGTTGGACAATCTACTTCCATAGTGATACTGCCTTGACAACCCAAGGAGGGGTCTCTATGAGTCGGGTCCGACTCAACGGCACATAACAACAATAGAATTCGTGATCTTTCAGTTCGATTACAAGTATTATGCTGTAATGAAAATAAATTTTTCTTAAAAAAAATAAGAATGGATTATTATGAACAATATATTAATGTATAATTGTGGTTAGATGATCAGGAAGTTACTTGTTTTCATTGAGTATGGCAGGGTTCCAGAACAGCAGGGAAAGGAGAAACATATTTCCGTATTTCTGAGGTGGTAGTCCTTCAGGAACAAAAGGAAACATTACATTAAATAAAATAAGTTTTGACAAAACATCTTGATCCTATACAGGAAAGTGCCTGTGTAACAGGATTTTCATAATTATATGGTTATGTGTGTTGTTTAAATCTGTTTTCTTGGGCAAAAAGAGTTGAAAAAGGTCAATGTTCTGGGAAGATTTGGGTGCATGGGGTCCAAGGATTTAGAAGACAGTTGGTACCACCAAGTGATCAAATTCTCAGGCAACATTTCAGAGACCCAGCTTTCCAAGCATGGAAGGATCTTTACTTAGTTAAGGAAAAACAAAACAAAACAAAACAAAAAAAAACAAAGTAAACTCCCCCAATATTACTCTCTGATGATTTTCTCCTTTGCCCTTTATTTCTCAATCCTTCTATGTATTTTCTTGTCATTCCAGAGGGTTTTGGAAAATGAGGAAAATGTAGAAGAAGGAAATGAAGAAGAAGATTTAGAAGAGGATATTCCCAAGCGAAAAAATAGGACTAGAGGACGGGTAAGTTGGGGGACTATGAGGGAGGAAAGAGATGAGTGAAATTGAGCCCAGGCAAACAACTCATCCCAAGCTTCAAAGTGCCTGTGCAACTAGATGGAGTTCATATCCATGGTCTTACTTGGAGAATCTGCAGAGAGGAAAACTCCAGAAAGCACTGGTCCCAAGGATAAGCCTGAAGGAGTTTAGAGCTGTCAAGAGGGAAAAGGAGTAGAGAGTGTCTCACTGAGGGGACAGAGTAGATTAGGGAAGGGTTGTGGGGTGGGATCAGGGTAAGGGTAGAGGGTGAGGAGAATGTGTCTGTTGTATGCATTAAACCAGTTGATGTGGAGTTGGTTCTGACTCATGGCAACCCCATGTATCTCTGAGTAGCGCTGTGCTCCATAGAGTTTTCAATGGCTGATTTTTCAGTTGTAAATCACCAGGCCTTCCTTCTGAGGTGGCTCTGGGTGGACTCCAGCCTCTAACCATTTGGTTAGCAGCTGAGTATGTTAACTGTGTACACCACCAGGGACTCTGTACTTGTTGTCAGGTGCTGTTGAGTTGGTTCTGACTCATAGTGATCCTACGTACAACAGAACAAAACACTGCCCACTCCTGCACCGTTCTCACAATCATTGCTATGTTTGAGTCCATTGTTGCAGCCACTGTGTCAATCTATGTCATTGAGAGTTTTCCTCTTTTTTGCTGATCCTCTACTTCACCAAGCATGACATCCTTTTCCAGGGACTGGTCCCTCCTGATAACATGAACAAAATATGAGCTATGAAGTCTCACCATCCTTGCTTCTAAGGAGAATTCTGGCTGTACTTCTTCCAAGACAGATTTGCTCATTCTCCTGGCAGTCCATGGTATATTCAGTTTTCTTCCCCAGGACCATAATTCAAATGCTTCAATTCCTCATCAGTCTTTCTTATTCATTGTCTAGCTTTCACATGCACATGAGGCAATTGGAAATATTGTGGCTTGGATCAGATCCACTTTAGTCCTCAAAGAGACATCTTTGCTCTTTAACACTTTAAAGAAACCTTTTGCAGACTCATTGCTTGGTCATGAATGGAGGCTGAAAGTTTCCCCAGGATGACAGTGGCAGGACACCTGCTTTGGGGTGCACTGAACTTGTAGGTGCACACTGGGAAAGCATAGGGAACTGTAGGTTTCTAAAGCATGAGTTTTGAAGGCTTGTAGTCCTGGAATATGGCAAGGAGAAGGTCAGAAACCTGGGATATATTTGAGGGGAAATTGATGATGAGAGGAATGAAGACAAGGGTGTGGTCCCTGAGGAGAGGTAGTGGTGCTTTTGGGCATTCAGGTTGGTTCTCCAGAGTCCCTGTGTTCAAGCCTAAACAGGTTTTCTGTGGTCACCTTCAGAACTCTGCAAGGGCATTTGACAATAACCAGATGGACAGAGGCAGCAAACTGCTGCTCTCTTCTCAGAGAATTAATTCTCTTTTGCCTGAGGGTCTGTCTTCTTTAGGCTCTAGGCAATGCTCTTACCCCTCCCATGGATAAGAGTTTGGGTCCAGTGATAATTATAGCAAGCTTTTCTACTCTTGTGGTTCTCAACCAGTGTCTTAGTTTGCTAAGACTGCTGTAATAAATTACCACAAACTGAATGGCTTAAAACAACAGAAATTTATTTCCTCATAATTCTGGAGGCTGTTGTTTCTGTTAGGTGCTGGTGACTCAGAGACAGCTCATAGGGAGCCTATGGATAACAGAACAAAAATTGGCCCCATCCCATGACACCTTCACATTAGTAGGTGTATTTGAGCCCATTGTTGTAGCCACTGTGTTAGTTAATCTCCTTGAGGGTCTTCCTCTTTTTTGCTGAAACTCTGGTTTACCAAGGATGATGTCCATCTCTAGCGATCTGATTCCTTTTGACATTTCCAAAGTCAACAAGATGAAGTCTCACCATCCTTGCTTCTAAGGATTATTTTCAGTCAGTTCATATGCATGGGAAAGCTGGACAATGAAAAAGGGAGACAGAGGAAGAATTGATGTATTTGAATTATGATATTGGTGAAGAATATTGAATAGACCATGGACTGCCAAGAGAATGAACAAATCTGTCCTGGAGGAAGTACACCCAGATTGCTGCTTAGAAGTGAGGACTGGAGGCTAGAAGTCCCAAACTCAAAGGATCAGCGGGATTGGTTCTTTCTGAGGGCTCTGAGGGAAAATCTGCTCCATGCCTGTTCTGGTTTCCTAGTGCCACTCTAACAGAAATACCACAAACGGGATGGCTTAATGAACAGGAGTTTATTCTATTACAGTTTTAAGGCTTTAAGTCCAAGTTCAAAGCGCCAGGCTCTAGGGGCTGTGTGAAAGCTCTTTGATCTTGGGGTTCAGCTCTGCCTCTTGCTCCCGGCCCACTGAAGCTAGAGACATTTCTTCACTGGCTGCTGAGGCTAACAAGCCCAAGGTTGGCAACTAAAATGGCACAGTCCTGATGTTACCAAACCACACGGTAGGCTATTAATTCAAATCCATTGAAAGTCCCAAGGTTGGCAGAGCTCCTGAACAACAACATGGCTACATGCGTGGTTCAAGGGTGCCATAAGCTAGAGACCATTCCCCAAGGCTTCTCCTTATATACAGGAAGCAGACCACAGCCCTAAGGCAGCTACTCAGCTGCTCCCAGTAGATTCTACCATGGAGTTGATTACCAGTCTCATCATGGGAAATACTACATCCAGCTGCCCAGCCACTCAAGCAAGCCCAGCCAAGTTGACACACAAAGTTAACCACCACAATGCCTTTCTCCTGGTTTATAGACCAATTGCTCCAATCTCTGCCTCTGCCTTCATGTGGTATTCTCCCTATTTCTCTTTTCTGTGACTCTTCTCTTCTTATAAAGACACCAATCATATTGGATTACAGTCTACTTTAATGACTTCATCTTAACTTGATTACATCTTCAAAGACCCTATTTCCAAACAAGATCACATTCAAAGATACCAGGGGTTGGGACTTGAACATACCTTTTTGGAAAACACAATTCAACCCATAATACTTATTGTTCATCAAATTCATCAGGTGAGCTATTTAAAATGCAGATTTCCAGGTCCCAGAAATGCTAATTTTGCAGGTTTGGGGTAGGGCTTGGGAAACTATATTAAAAGCAAGTTCCCCTGGGGACTGATTCCAGTAGCCCAGTACTCCCTACACTGTGAACAAAATTCCTCCAATCTGTTGGCAAGAGCTGGGATTTCTGTCTGGTCAGAGCAGCTCTCTGACGGCAACTCTGTGTAGCTGCTGTCCAGCTTCTTCAGTTATCAATATTTTGACTATCTTGTTTCATCTATTCCCTTTTCTCACTTTTTTGTTGGCTTGTATGTTTGTTTTGATCAAGTTTTGAAAGCAATTCCTAGATAGTTGCTCAAAAATGCCAGTTTACAGTTGTTTTGAACCTTAGGTATCTTATTCCATAACATAACTCCTTCTCCCCACACTCTACCATTCTCCCCCCCCCCCATATGTTATTTATTTCTTGAAGAACTTGGGTTGTTTGTCTTATAAAATTTCCCCTGTTCTAGATTTGGTGAAGTGGATCCTCTTGGTGGGGTTAATGAATTCCTCTATCTCCTTAATTTCCTGAAAACTAGTGGGTAGATTAGGGCATAATTAGATTTAAGATATGTGTATGTGTATAAATATATTTTTTGGGGGTGTGTGTGGCAAGGGTCTTGCTTAAATAGATGGTGATGTGCACTTCTTATTGTCAAATCATTCTATTTTTATTGGGTTTGGATGCTGTATCCCCACTCCCTCCTTCACAGAGATCCCCATCAACTTTTCACTTAATTGGTTTTAGCAGACATTGATGAACTTGCCTAGACCCATTACCTCCTTGGGGGTTATAAAATAATGAATATCCAATTCTATCATTAAAGAAGACTTAAGAACTTGGAGTGATTGGGCCTTTTATGAATTCTAAGACGGTGCACCTCCTGGTCCGTTTCTATTGCTTCCCTCACCCCAAAGCAAACTTCCTGGAGCAGATCATGGAAAATGGTCCTCTTCACATCTCCTCTACTCCCAACCAAAATCTAGATGATTGAGCTTGCAGCCAGTGAATACTAATTAGGGATCTCTCTGTAAGAACATCAGCAGTAACAGCAGCAGCAGTCATTTATGGAGCATTTCCTATACACCAGGCAATGTGATAGGGCTTTTTACAATAATTGCTATCGTATGGAATGATGACCTTGTTCCAGGTATTTTACACTGCAGGCTCCATTTCTGCACTGTCCATTATGCTAGCCACTGGCTGTATGTGGCTGTTGGGCACTTGAAATGTAGCTAGTCCAAACTGAATGTAATGTAAATGTAAATGTAATGTGAATATAAAATACACCCTAGATGTGGAAGACTTAGTGTGGAAAAAGAATGCAAAATATCTTATTAATAACTTTTTAATATTGATTACATATTGACATGGTAATATTTTAGATCTGTTAGATTAAATAAAATATATTATTAAAATTAATTGCCACTTTTGAAAAATTATTATTTTTTTTTAAAAAAATATGGGTATTAGAAAATTTAAAATGACACGTGTGGCTCACATTCTATTTCTATTGGCCAATACTGTTTATTTTATTCCCATCAATTGGTGTTATTTTTCCCAGGGAGGTTAAGTAACTTGCTCAAGGTCCCAAGTGACCACTTAACCTAGGAAGGAAAAAGTCAGGAATTGAACACAGGTCTGTGCTCTTTCCATGGAGTCACAATCTCTTCTACTGCCTGGCCCAGTGCCTAGCAGTAGCCAATGATCACCTTGTTGAATGAATGACTGAATGATGGAAAAAGAAAGAAAAGTCATATTTCAGCTTTGTAGGAGTTGAGAGAAGGCCTGAATCCAGTGAGGGGACTAGATGAGCCTAGACTAGCTCCAGGCCCTCCTGGTGCTACCAAAGAACAGCTGGATGGCTCTACGATATACAGTGGCTCTACGATATACAGTGGCTCTACGATATACATATACATATGAACAT